CACTAGTGGAAATTATGGAATTTCCGACCACTTAAAAGTAATCTTAAACCAAGTCAAAAGCCTTGTTCCGACCACTTTTGGTATCCGGAAAAATCTTTGTTGCTATTTCCGACCACTTTTTGGTATTAACTTGATTTAAAATCATTTTCAGGTAGTCAAAAATTGCATAATTTTCAGTAGTGTAATTTGCGCTCATTTTATGATAAAATCAAGATACATGATGAGAATAATAATTCTTATGAATACACTTAAAATTTTCAATGACTAATGGTTAGTGCAATGCTAAAAGAAAATGTAAAAGTATAATTTTGGTACACGCTAGACATGATAGTTTCAAGTCATAAACATGAACATCGTTAGATGTAATGTAAAAGGACTAAAAATATTACTTGGTGTGAGATGTGTGGGGAACTAAAACTAAGTTAAACAAAACATGATCAACTTACTCCAATATTATCTAATGTTAGGATTGGTCACATTTTATTAGGCTAGAAATCAAAGATTCGCACCTCAAACCGTACACCTATGTTGTCCTCCATTCAGTACAAGAATTTATTTCATTGTCAATATTGTTTATTCAACCCTATCTTAACAAGTTCTCATAAGTTGGAGTTGATCACACATTAATTTGATAATTATAATATTTTAAATTCAATTTACTGCAGAAATTGTTAAGTCATATCTTTATATATGGTCGGTGAGTTTTACCGAAAGCACATATTCATGCACCAACTCCCAACGTGTTGGGTAAGGAAACAATTAAGTTTACTCTAGAATTGCCTATCCATCCTCCAAACATGTAATGTGACATGGTTTGTGATTAATTTGGTGAGATGACAAGTCATCTGAGTCAAGTGCAAGACTCATTAATCATTGGTGCATGCTCTGTCCCCTCTCCACTACACATATGCCTAGCTAGCTAGCTACTCTCTACAAAAATCAAAGCCGCTCAACCGTCCCAGCCACCCGCACCGCCGCACGCCGCCATCATCGCCGTGGACAAGTTATACATTCAGTTTTCACTAACAATAACTCAGATAGCGTGATACAATTTCACATCGACTTATTTCATAAAATAGAGAGCGATATTCGTATTAAAGTTAAACCTTCACTTTTGAATTAAGTTTATGATGAAGTTAGGCCTCGTCTTCTTTTTTGGAGTGACAAGGGAAACTCGCAATCAGTACACAAAGGTATATACACTCGATAAACCTAATCTTGTTATCCTAGTTGGCAAATGATCACAAAGAGATAAACCATCCTAGATTTTTTATAGTTGACTGGCTCAAGCTTAGCCAAGAAAGTTAAGATTCGAACTCTATAAACAATAGGCCTCACCATCTTGATTAGAGTGTCTATTGTACACATAACAAAAAATGTGTGATTGATGTCCTATTGAACATAACCTTTTTAATGTGGTAGGATGTCACCATCTATTATGACAAAAAAAAAAAGTGAAATTGTTGTTCAATGAATTTAATTAACATGATGAGATGTCACAGTGTATCTTTCAAGAATTAGGGCCCGCATGGGTAGCTCAACTGGTCATAAAGGTGAAACTTTGGAAGAATGATCAGGGATCGAGTCTCACCAGCGGCACTGTGGGAGCAACCTCTCAAAGTGAGGGGGGCTCCTTGTGCACAGTGAGCATCGGTCTAGCCGTTCATGTTCAGTTGAGTCACCATGATTTACATCCTCCCAAATGCGCCCTTAGGATTGGGGTTCTTCCTTTGAAAGAATTAGCTAGGGAATTGAACGATACTTAAATTAAGGTCAAACGTTTACTCTTGAACAAGAATTATTTATTGAAAGTGAATGAAAGGGCTAAGCTCTAAAAAGTAAAAAGTGAACGACTAACTAGTCATCACTGATACTTGAGACCCCTATCATATCCTTCTTCAGAAGCTCATCCAACTCCTCAGGAAGACGAGGAAGAAGAATCCACCGACCATATAAATTTTTTACTAAAAAATTAAAATAATCTTTCATTTTAAAGAACTTCAAAACTCATAATTGATCTCCTCACATCTCTATATTTAATTGTCTATTGAATTTCTAACCATCAAAATAATTGATAACTTATGGTTTAAACCCTACATTTTAAATACCTTAATTTCGATCCATTTAATTATCGTCATCAATTATTCGTTTGCTCACCTCTATTTTAAACTACCTTTTAAAATGAAATTATGGTTTTAATTTGAGTATCTATCATTATTGTGACAGAAAAAATAAAAAATAAAAAGAAAAAAAGTGAGAGCAATGTTTAAGAATGCAGAAATGTGCTGACTAGTCAGTCCAACGCAACTCCAACACGCTTCCGCGTGGACGCCAGCTGTCTTGCTGTCGGTCACTTGATTGCGTATACGCCGAACGTCATTAATTTGATTATTATAATTATAGGATAATAATATTTTATTAATAACGGACTTCTAATCTTAATTACTTCTTACTGCATATCCATATGAATTCGTCCAAATATTTTTCATTTTTTATTATTACAAAAATCATTTTACTTCCCATCGTTGATGCATTTTTTAAGGTGAAAAGGGAAATCCATTAGGTGAATTATGTTATTACGTAATAACTCACAAATTACACAAGAGTGATAATCACAAACTATACATGATAAATTAATCGTATTAAGAATGCAATATGATTAGCCAAAAAGATCAAGTATACTAAATGACTAATCATCTCCACCCACTCGGCTACCCTTTCAAGCCACTATTTATGCATTTTCCTTATATTTTATGATTTAATATTATTACAAGGATAATGTGATATTCCTCTCCTAATTTCATCTTCTTACATTGTACTATTTGATGAATAAGTAAATTTATATTTAAATGCTAGATGGGGTTGATAAATTTATAAAGCTATTGAAAAGGGCTAGCAAGGTGTGGCCCGCTAGGAATGTCAATTGTACCCACACTTGACGGGGAACCCGATTCCCAACTCTTACGGGGACGGGAATGGAAACAGAAATAGGGGATCAGGAATGGAGATAGGGCCAATTTTGAATTTCTCGCCGGGAACGGGGGCGGGGATGGGGTTCTCCCCGACCCACCCCACCCCCGATATATATATATATATATATATATATATATATATATATATATATATATATATATATATATATATTATGTTAGAAGCAATCTTGTCATTGTATGTCATGCTTATGAAATGCATATTTAAATAACATGTTTAATTGTAAAATATTGAATACTACTTTAAGGTGAGGATGAATATATATGCGTTATTTATTTAAATATTTTTATAATCATATTCATTGTCTCTTAATATGATAATAATTGTTTTTTTTTATTTATTAAAACAATGGCATTTTTGGTTTGTGACCCTCACATATTTAATCCTTTTCAATGATTTGAAGTACAAATTTAGTTCATAAGTTATTGTCATAATGGTGAATTTAGTAATTCAATGATATATGATATTTAATAAAATAATTAATTTAGTTCGAGTACAACTCTGATGAACTAAATTTATCACTTTGATAATAACTGAATGGCTTATATAAAACAAATAATTAAAGGATTAAATCTATATAATGGCCATAATCGGGACTAAACATGTCATTTTTTAGAGTTTTATGTTTATTTTTTTTTTAAATTGAATGAATTAATTTAACATCGAGTTAACTAAGAGATAAATATCAAAAAATAGAGAATATAATTACACTCATTACAAAAGCATTATATTTCTTCTTCTCCTTAAAAATTGAATCTTCAACCTCAAAGGTTCCCTACACCCCAATCTGACAACAGACGGTAACTCACTAACGCAATAGGCATGACCAAATACCGGTGCTCACAAGGTACTAAAACATACCCCCTTTATCCCATTTTATCTGTCTTACTTACTATTCATTGATCAAACCAACTCTTTATTCTTTGTTTATTTTCTTTATGAATTTTTATTCTTTTTAAATTTGATTTTTTTTTGGGTGTTTTAATAGTATTTTTAATGTAGTTTCTAAATATATAAATTTCGTATACTAATACCAAACTGAATATTAAAGAAAAATTAAATTAAAAATAATTTTAATTAAACATCGTTAATTGAACCAGACACATAAAATGGGACGGAGGGCGTAAGAGTTTTTTGCACTTTTAGTCCCACGACTATAGTGGCACTGGCAGAATTGATCTACGACTTTTGAACCTTGCAATTTTAGTCCACGACTATTGATTTTTTTGCAAAAATGGTCCTTCCGGCCACTTTTCCGTCAAAATTTCACCGGAAAAAAAAAATTCTCTATTTTTAGTCGGGTTAAAATTGACATTTTACTTATCTCAAAAAATTAAAAGAAAAAAATTGATATTTGACTACATACAATATTACTGGGCTACATACTACTGCCCCAGGCGGCAGAGTACATGTACCATTCCAATGCTGCTGCCGGAGCCCGGGGAACGCCACGGCCGCTCCGCCACTTACTGACAGCCCTGCCTGCTCCAGGAACTCCGCCGCCTGGGGCAGTAGTATGTAGCCCAATAATATTGTATGTAGTCAAATATCAATTTTTTTCTTTTAATTTTTTGAGATAAGTAAAATGTCAATTTTAACCCGGTTAAAAATGGAGAATTTTTTTTTTCCGGTGAAATTTTGACGGAAAAGTGGCCGGAAGGACCATTTTTGCAAAAAAATCAATAGTCGTGGACTAAAATTGTAATGTTCAAAAGTCGTGGATCAATTCTGCCAGTGCCACTATAGTCGTGGGACTAAAAGTGCAAAAAACTCGAGGGAGTAATTAGCAACGAAAAACCACACATTACAAAAATCTATGCAACGTTATCCCAACACAATCCACAATCAATGTGTTCTCATTCAGTCTCCATAATCTGCACATTATGAATGCGTTAATTACTCAAATTATGAAATATTTTTGAGTAAAGTGAAATTTCTTGTGAATGTATCTTTATCTAAAACCCGGAAATTTTTTTATTTTTTTAAAAAGAAAAGAAAATGAAAGGGCTTTACTCCGAATTTGATAAATCTTTTACGCCACACTGAACTTACACTTAAACGCAAAGAGGTCGCTGGCATGTGAGCGAGTGCCAGTGAGGAAGTGTACGTACATAGAGAGAGAGAGAGAGAGAAAGATGGAAGATAACAATGGAAGTAGAAAGCTGGATCGGAAAACTGTAATGGAAGAAGAAAACCCATTTTGAATTTCTTAATAGGGAGGGAGGAGGGTTCGTAAAGATTCGAATTTTGGAGAGTTTTAATGAGTGATGGCGAAGACAGGGGTAACAGAAGGAGGTGATCCGGCTCCGGCGGCGCCGCCGGGGGCGGCGGAGTTGAAGGAGGAGTTGCAGAGGGCGGTGAAGGCAGTAGTAAGCGAGGATGGTGTCAATGCGGAGGCCATTGATAGAGCCCAGCAAGCACTATGCGCCTTAAGAGGCCTCCACCCTGAGCAGAACAACAACTCTTTTCCGGCGGAGTTCCGGTGCCCGCTTTCCGGCGAACTCATGAAGGACCCCGTCGTTGTTTCTTCTGGCCAGGTTACTTCTTTTTTTTCTCCTTCAAGGATCACAATTCTAACTTTCTTGTTATTAATCTGGTATTTCAATTTCATGATTCTTTCAATTTAATCTGACCCTCGAGTAATGATTGCGGATTCCAGCAATTAGCATGGAGATCATATCTCAATTTCCATTCTTGTATTCAAGAACATATGTTTCTTGAAAGTTTTGTTAGTTAAAAGCTAAAAAAGTTCACTTTTTTGGGTTTGTTTCATTGTGTTGTGGTCTTATAATTTTGCAGACTTATGACAGACCATTCATTCAGAAATGGTTAAATTCTGGGAATAGGATATGCCCACAGACACAACAGGTGCTCTCACACACTATTCTTACACCTAATCACTTGATTAGGGGTATGATATCAAACTGGTGCAAGGTTAATGGGATATGGTTCCCGGATCCTCCTGTTCAGTGCTTGAACGAGGATGGCGTCGTTACGGATGCTGATCGCCACAACTTTCTCGTCTTGCTCGAGAAGATGTCCTCGAGTTCGTGTGTGCAGAGAAGCGCAGCGAGGGAGCTGCGTTTGTTGACGAAGAGAATGCCTTCGTTCAGGGCGTTGTTTGGGGAGTCGATGGGAGCAGCCATGCCTAAGTTGCTGTCCCCTTTCTCTCGAGTCGATGTACACCCTGATCTCCAAGAAGACATAATCACGACGATCTTGAACCTCTCCATCCATGATAGTAACAAGAAGCTCGTGGCAGAAACCCCGAGGGTGATTTCTGTTCTTATTGATTCGTTAAGGTCCGGGGCGATTGAGACGAGGAGCAATGCAGCTGCTGCCATCTTTACACTATCAGCTCTTGATTCCAATAAGGCGCTTATTGGGAAATCGGGTGCCTTGAAGCCTCTTATTGACCTCTTAGAAGAAGGGCATTCTTTGGCGATGAAAGATGTTGCTTCAGCTATTTTCGTTCTGTGTGTTCTCCATGAGAACAAGGCGAGAGCTATCAGAGACGGGGCGGTTAGAGTCCTCGTCGAGAAGATTATGAACAGAGTTCATGTCGATGAACTACTAGCCATCCTTGCTATGCTGTCTAGCAACCATAGAGCAATCGAGGAAATGGGAGAGCTCGGGGCTGTCCCATCCCTGCTTAGTCTAATCCGGGACACATCTTGTGCCCGGAACAAGGAGAACTGCATCGTTATCCTCTATGCAATCTGTTCTGCTGATCGAACGAAGTTGAAGGAGATCAAGGACGAGGAGAGTAGCCACGGTACGATCTCCCAGCTCGCTCAAAATGGCACTTCACGGGCCAAGAGGAAGGCTAGCGGGGTTCTTGATAGACTCAACAGGGGAGTCGGTTTCATCCACACTGCATGATGAAGCTCACACAATCTGTACATTCTTCGCCTTTTGAATGTTCTGTATATTCATTCCATCTAGTCGAGGTTTTATCAATAACACCCACAACCAATATCATCAGTTCATTCGTTCATCTATAAGCTTGAGAAGCTCAAATAAAGCAGCATGTTTCCAGTTTTCCAAAGAGAGCGACACCATTGTAAAACTTATTACTGCAAATATCTCTATTGAGGGCTCACAGGGCGACGAAGAATCCTTCCAACTTCTTTGCTGGCTCTGTGGGTGTACTTTGTTTGGGCATTAGAAGAGTCAAAACATCATTGCCACTATCTATATCAGGTCCAGGGATGAATGAATGAGTGGTTTCTGTCTTACTGAAGGGGTTAGGGTGGTGCTCTGATCCCTACTAGTGTGGTCCTTCCAATGTGCAATCCAACCAGCCATGTCAGGTTAGGATGTATCATTCAAACATCTGGCTAGACCGCAACTGCAAAGCCAGAGGATCGATTCTTGTATGTATGTGTGTGTATATGTCAAAAAGAGCTTCAGACCAGTCTTTCTATCGAGTAAGAGTCAAACTCGCCTTGTACCCGGACCAAACCCAGATCAGTCTCACATAGTAGAGATATCGGGTGTTATACGTTGATACAAAAATATCTAGCAAGCCCACCCCCCACCCCCACCCCATCATTGTAGTAAGAGTCAAACTCGCTCTGTACCCGGACCAAACCCAGATCAGTCTCACATAGTAGAGATATCGGGTGTTATACGTTGATACAAAAATATCTAGCAAGCCCACCCCCCCCCCCCCACCCCATCATTGTACTAATCAAGTGACTCATGGTCATATCAGCAGTGTGTTGTAAAGAGGGAAATTGAATCCTAGAATTTCTGTATGAAGCTTTTGTTTGTTTGGTTCCATGTAACATGCAATTTTGGGTAGAACATAAAAAGGTATCCAAGGAATGTAGAATTGTCTACAGAAGTAGAGAAATATAAAAATTAATACAAATAATTGAAGTACATGAGAATATTTCTTGGATCACCCTTTTAAATTTAATTTCATATAAATGAAAATTTAAGAAGAAAGTGTGATTTTTAATGAAACCACAGCTTTGAATAATTAGACCATGTGAGAAATGAGTTTAGTAGTAATGTAGTATCTGTATAGCAATTACTAAACTAGTATAGTAGGGCCTCACATACAGCAACACCCACTAGTAGGGCCACACATGCAAAAACACCCCTTAGTGAGTTGCTCCCGATAAATTTAATTGAAATTCGACTTGATTAGTTTCATCCTGCTAAATGTAGATACTAATCCAAAAAGCTTGGTAGGAACACATGTTTTTAAAGTTGTATACTGATATATTAGGAGATTTCCACATAATAGATATAGTCAGAATAAGGCCCAAATTGATCACGGAACATAACCTGAAAGTGTAATTAAACCACTGGAAGAAATGGGTGTTAACCTGCTATCATGTGAAATTGTATATATTTGAAGTATTTTTTTTTTTTTTGTTCAATGACGTGATTGCACTTTCAAGTTACGTTTAGTGACCAATTTGAACCTTATTCCTAGATAGTCAGTGCCAATCCATAATGCAGAATAACCCTAATATATTATATACAGTACTTCATTTTCTATTACTGTACTTTGGGAATAGGCACAGTAAAAGTAGAAAAGAAACAAAAGAGAGTTCCAGTTGGAAAAAAGATTGCCCAAACTTTATAAATTCAAATTTCTTAGCTTGTCTTCTTCTTCAAAGTTGATGTGATGGGAAAATGGAATGGGCAAATGATTGTACAGTCTCTACCAAGAAATTACTGTCATCAACATTCTCCTATCTGTTTCCAGGATTTATTTAACCACTATTTTTAGCAGAAACTAAGTTTCCATAAATGCCAGAGGGTCTACCATGTGTTGCTGCAACCTTGAGGGTGCTACAAGAACCAGACAGGGCAGCTCTGATCTCCACTATGGTGTCCCAAGATGTTGTAGGGAACAACTACAAGCTATTGAAGGCATAAGTGATAATATACTAAGGCTTTTCACTTGGCGACAGAAATGCAGCTAAGCTGTGGTGGCTGGCTTCCATTATCTGTCTGTCTATCAAAGTTCAAACTGCATGGGGCATGAAGCCATCTGGCTACAATCAACATCAGTTAGTTACCCTCTGTAGCCCTAATAAAATGACTAAACATAGAGTTTGAACTTCGAAAGATAATGATACGACCCACATTGAATCCTTCAGGAATGGGAAAGTGTGGTGCTTATTGCTTAACTTGAGATCAAACCTCAGGTTAGCTTTTGTGGTAGAACTAGGATCTTGACCTGAGTACTAAGCTAGGTTTTAGGGTGAAACTATGGTCTCGGCTTCAATGCCTACAGATAGCCTAAAGTATCCGAGTTCAAATCCTCGAAGGCAAATGGTGAGTCCTTACAGACCTACAAACCGGTTGTGTTTCTTTCTTCTACTTGTGAAATGCGACTTTCTAGCTACATAACATGCATCCTATACGGGGAAAACCCCCAAGATAGGGGAAGTTAGAATGGTTGAAACCTAGGAGCTCAAAGAGTTCAGAGATCACTATAAGAGACTAGAAAATCAAGGTCTAGTGTATCGGAAAAGACAGACAAACAATTGCAAACTTGTTCTTCATCACATGCTACAAGCTCAGGGTTGCTGTAAAAGTGTACAAAAATGTCATAACTGTACAGTTTAATGAAGACCTAAGAGCAAAAGCGTAGGGACTATACATCTGTATGAATGACATAATGTGTGAACTACGATCAATGATACCACCTGATTGGTATTTAGATGAAAGGCATTCTAGAGACCTAATGAGCACAGACACCTGAGAAACTGCAACATCCATTATCAACTTGTACCTCGTAGAAGTTCAATCCATCCGGTAAGCCCAGCCATGCTTATCCAAATATGCTTGCACCGCTTCTTTAATAGCAAAATTTGGTACCAACTGAGATGGATAGAGTGCTTTTCCTGTAACTGGGTCAAACTTGCCTACCTAACTCGTTGAAAAGATAACGACAGATATATTATACAAAATTACATTATACAACTATATAAAGAGACTTCAAACCAACCAGGAATGATTACCTTCTCCAAATGTTCAAGGATGACTGCCCTCTCATATGTAACCCCACTGGGAGTAATGACAGGATCACGAAAAATGTCGAGCGTGATCTTACAACACAAGTAATCAGGCACCTGCAAATCCTTGGATTGAGTGCCAAACAAATACAACATACTCTGTATTTGCTAATGACTGAGAAATCGCTACTAAGATACTCACATCAATTGGGGTATCATCTGCTGCAGCTTTCCTGAACACTTCATTCAAAGCTTCAAGTTGTTTTGAATAAAAGTCTTCCTTTTCATCTAAAAAACCTTCCATCTGTGAGATATTAAGTAAATGTTTCTCCTTAAGAGCTGTCTCACAGGATTCTCTGAGGCACATAAGACGAAACAGATATAGAAACAACTAACTTATAGTCAGACAAAACAAAAGGGAGTAAAACGTTTACAACTGAGATTAAGAATACGAAAGGAATTACTTCAATTTATAGAGTTCAGAACTGCGCTTGGCAGATTCATGTTCCCACTCCAAATATTTGGCTTTTGCAAGCTCTTGCCAGATCTCCTCTACCATGTAACTCTTAGGATTAGCACCTCTTCCAAGATCCAATGCCTAAAACAAAGTTAAATGCACATGAAACATGTTGCTTAAGGAGTCAATTAAGTAACAAGAAACATCCACTATCATAATTTTTTTCTACACTAATTAGCCAAGAGGGAGGTTCTTAAGTATTTCTCCACATCTTTTATCTGCTAAAAGACCATAACAGCATGATCAAATTAAAAGCTAATTTTTGCACCTGAACCCTAAGTGGATTTCTCAAGTTCTTCTATTCTAAGTGAATGAACACAACATATAGGATCTATTTAGCAGGCATTCTATCAGTTGATAAAAGCATAACATCTGACAACATTATCTTTGGTATATTGGTTCCAATATGAATCAATGAAATCTCAGATTCAGAAAGTCAATGTAGGTGCCTGTATGGTAGGTTAGTAGATATTGTGTATGGAAATGCAATACTTTTTCCAATTCATTATTCAGTGAAGGCAAGGGAGCACAGGCAATACTTTTTCCAATTCTCTGACTCCTTCAGAATACGCTTGCTTCCTTAGTAATGCAAGACCTAGCATATAATGGGCCTGTAATTTCACAAGCATCCTTTATTAAATCAGAAGAAATATTATTTTTCAGTAAAACAAGTAACAGGAACATGTAAAATTGAACTCAAAGATATAAATAAGTAGACATTAATGGGGCACTTTTTCTCTTTCGTTACGAACACACTTTTGAAAATGACAATACTATCCACTTTTGCCATTAAGCATTAATATGTACCTAGCTATCCACTTTAAAAGTTTCAGTTCACATCCTTCTGATAATGGAAAATAAGCTATGGGAAGTCTAGAACATCAACATTGGAAGATGACCATTGAATGTTTGGCCCTAACTCCTAAATCTGTCAGCTTGAATATGCTCTAATCTCTTTTCTTCTGTCATCTCCATTTCCTCAACTGATTATGTCCGAACAAAGCAAACCTAATCTTGTGTAATGGATCAGAACTACTGCATGCTAAGACTCTACTATGGCAAACTAAGGATCACTCTTTCTCCCAAAACCATCATTTCTCTATTTCCTCGGACCAAATGCAAGAAAAGCTTTAAACATCCATAGCAGTCAGGCAGTCACAACTCATCAGTAAATTCCTTCATCTTGATGGCAAAAAATACGTTAAACCCCACAAAATATGGAGCTTTGACAGTGCCAAAGTCCTAAGGAGGATAACCTAGCTTTGCAAGTAAAAAAGGGGGAGGAGGGAAATTGTAGAAAGAGCATAATTTGTTCTTTATTACAGTACAACAAAATAGATAAAAGATTGACAGAAACTAACTAGCAAACACACCTTAACAGTATTACAGTCTAGCTGAATTGCTCTCCTACAATCCTCTTCCAATCTTGTCCAATCCCTACACAAAAAAGCAAGCATGAAGATAATAATCCACAATTACAACCAAAGAAAAAAAAAACTTTAAAATTCATACTAACTTCCGTTTGAGATGGCACAAAGCACGATTAGTCCAATACACAGGAACATTAGGGCACAAAGTAATCGCCTAAAATTCCCCAGGAAAACCAAAAACTTGATCAAATAAGGCGTCCTAAAAGTAATCCAAAGGAAAGAACGCAGATTGGAGGTAATGATACCTCGGTATAGGCATCGATGGCGGCCCCAAATCGGTTCTTCTGGAAGTAATTGTTGCCGTCTTGCCTGAGCTGCTCCGCCTGTTTGACCATTGCCGTGACAGCCCCCGTCGGTGCCATTTTGAATCCGGAAGCCGCGTAACCCCAACCCCTCTATCTCTGCGTCCGTATCCCTCTGAATGCACAGATAGAGAAGTTGTGAACGGAAGAAATGATCGAAAAACTTATTGAGGAAAAAACGCAAACGGTTTATGGGCTTTGAAAATTTTTGAAAAACTTGAAAATGTGTTACGGGCGGGCGCGGGCTATGTGGTTCTCTCCCGAGGTTTCCAGATTTGATTCTTGGCGATAATGAAATGGAAGACACAGAGGAGACGAAAGGGATGACGTGGCTTGACCTCACCGCCATCACTTAATATATTCTCCAACAGTTTTCGCCATCATTTTTTTTTTTTTTAAATTTCTTGATTATTAATGTGATCATATAATTTTTAAATTAATATAAATGTAATTCATAATATTCCAATTAATCTTATACAACGAAAAGAAGGAACAATCATGGCGAGCAAATGTCAGCTCAATTGGTCATATTGTAATGTGTA